AGATTCTCTGTGGCACCTCTGAAAGCGCTGTACTCTGTTCTCCATTAATATGACTAATTGGTTGCAACTGGACTTTGTGTTCCATTAGCTCAACTAATTAGCTGAATCGCATCTGTGATAATCAAGTTAACTAATTGGATATATAATTCCGTGGCTTACAAATCAATTCTATTATTCACATCGTCTATAGCAATTGCATTATGAGCGATACAGTACAGTAGATGCCATCAGTATCTGAAAAAAATGCTGATTTTGTTTTTTGTCAAGCCTTAATGTAGGATCAATTTGAACATTTTTGAGTTGGCATAAAGTGAAAATGTATTTAATTTTCTAAATGCATCGCATACAGCTTGTGAATGATCATTTATACATGTTTCTTTAGGTAATTATTAGCGGTCAAAACACTGTAGATCATCACTTTTTAGGCTGTGCATCCAACAAAGCATTTAATAAAAACACACTTGGGTGATTGAGAGCACTTCTGGCAGCAGCTATTTATTTATTTATATATTTTTTTTTAGTTGAGAGTGAGGCGCATTCAAATCATTGGTAGTTACTGGATTGTAGAAGCTGATTCAACATATTGTATAATTAGTCAGTAAACTACAAACAGGGTTTCTGCAGGTTTCAGCAAGTTAAATTTAAGTCTTTTAAATATATTTTTAAGACCATCATGAATAAAATTTTAAAGTCATACAGGGCTAAACGCTAAGGAGTTTATCAAAAGGCCCAGTTGGAAAAGACTTTTTATCTGCCCTATCAACCTTTTTTTTAGAATTTAATATGGCAAATAAAAATATTATAAGATAAAATAATGATAAAATATATAACTATTTATAATTTACCATATATATATATATATATATATATATATATATATATATATATATATATATATATATAAAACTGGGCCATTCGATAACCTCATCACCAATTTTAATTTCAACTAGTAACATTGTCGACACTTTAACTTGCAGTATATTTCCTAAATACCGACTGCAAGAAAATAATCCTAATCCAAAACATTGTTTTTATACTGAATACAAATGCTAATCCAGCAGGTGGCGCTTTTACAACAGCAGGAATAACAGTGTATCCCAGGTTACTGCAGTAAACAAAGCAGCATGATGTCAAATCTAGCAGGATTTGTTTGATTTAAAACTACACAGAATCCCAATATTCAATATAAATATAAAGGTAAACTTAAGTATACTGATACTGAATTTAATACCTTGTAAAATAGAATTTAAAATGTTTTAATACTTTTTAAGGGCCTTAAATTTCTCTAATCTGATTTTGTTTTTTGATTTTGAATTTGATTATAATTTAATTTAATTTCTAATTTTGAAGACTTTGTAAGACCCCATGGACACCCTGTACAAACAAAAATAAATTTGAAAAATGTTTTAAATGTTTTAAAAACTGTAATAAACAAAACGTATGCACAACAGTCTGTCCAGCTTAAATACATAGTTTTTTAAAACAAATGTTATCGTAAAAAAATTATTAGACCATAATGGTAAATACAGTAAAAAAAAAGTACACCATTAAATAAAAAGTAAAAAGTTTTATAATTTATTTATTAGATGGATGTTCGCCAGATTGGGTAGTTACACATGAACAAAGGAAAATGAAGACCTGTTTAAAAATGATTTAAGATATTTAACAATATTTCAGTCAATGTAAGACTTAAGACATTTTTAAGACTATTATAAATAAAATTTTAGACTTATATTCGAGTTTCTCGAATGGTCCAGTTGAAAATAGATTTTTATTTTGCCCTATCAAACTTTTTTTAAATACGTGAATCAATATAATAATACAATAATGATCATTTAATATTAAATATATATTTTTTTGTAAATTCTGATGAAAATATTTTAAATATTGTGTCAAAACTAGCAAGCTCTAGTTGTATACATACACTTTTTTTCAACATAATTTTTCTTTAAAAAATGGAAAAAGGTTTTAAAGGTTTTAAAAACTATAATAAACTAAATGTATGCACAGCAGTCTGTCCAGGCCAGCTTCCACAGCAGTAAATACATGAAGAACTTTTAATTCCCCATCTAGGGAACTTCAACACTGCGTCTAACCAGAACGCTAGAACGCTTTCTTATAACTTTTACAGAAAATAATTAAATCATTATGGTAAATGGAGTTAGAAGTTAAGAGTTAACATGTACATTCTTAAATAAAAAGTTAAGTTTTATTATTCATTTGTTTGATGGGTGTTGACCAAATTGGGCGGCTATACATGATCAAATGAAAATCAAGACCTGTTTAAACAAGATTTAAGACCTACAACACAACATTTCAGTAAATCTAAGAATTTCTAAGACCCTGTGGATAACCTGTACAAACCTCACGATCCTGCAGGCTTTTTTTAAAACCTTGCTTTAAAAACAACTGAAAATGTATGCGTTCACTTTGCTGGATACTTGCTGTACTCAGCCATTTTTCATCAGCAACAAACTTAAACCAATACAAAAGCACACAGAGTTTATACAGTTGTCAGGCAGTCCTGTTCAATCATCCCAGATGTCAAAATCTGAGCAAGAAACAATGCCTAGAAGCAAGTCCACATCCTACCTATACCTGTTTTTTTTCAATAATTCATTATAAAGAGATGTATTTCACAATACAAAAAGGAATGATCTGTCACTACTTCTGTTTTATTGTGACATGGCATGAAATTCAATTTAAATACCTAATTTCTAAATCATCTGTTCCCAACCTGGCTCCTGCTTTAAGGTCATATTTATGTGAAAAAACAAAATGTTTTAATAAGTACTTTCTAGGAAACTAGCTGAGAAATTCTTCCTTTGCTCTACAGTTTAAATGGTTTCGCTGCTTTCAAATCGCAAAAACTGATGATGTTTTAATTTGAAAAGGATGGAAGAATACCTACATGTAATAACTAAGCTTGTAAACATAATCTGTGAGACCCGGTGGCACAGTGGGTAGCACAATCACCTCACAGCAAGAAGGTCACTAGTTAAAGCCTCGGCTGGTTCAGTTGGCATTTCGGTGTGGAGTTTGCATGTTCTCTCGGTGTTGGCTTGGGTTTCCCTTTGAGTGCTCCGTTTTCCCCCACAGTCCAAAGACATATGCTATAGGTGAATTAGGTAAGCAAATTGGCTGTAGTATTTGTGTGAATGAGGGTGTATGAATGTTTCCCAGTGATGAGTTGCAGCTGGAAGCACATCCGCTGCGTGAAACATTTGCTGGATAAGTTGATATTGATGATAATAAACATGCATAATATTGTTATCATGGGTACTTAAAATTTCAAAATAGAGTAAATAATTTATTATGGACACTCTTAAAGAGTCTTTTAAAAATATTAAATCATTGGAAGTGGTTGTTCAAAGCACCAAATGCTTGAAGACTTGATAAATATTTATAGTTGAACATTTTACAAACAGAATCCATTTGTTAACATCAGTCAATTTAACTAAACTCACAACGAAAACTACAAAAGCTTTTATTAAGCTTACATGATAATTATTTCTTAGTTAACGTCTAATAACACGTTAAAACAGTCAAACAAGTGTCAAATTCATTACTTTTTAAACTTACATTGCCTTAGAAAAAATGTTGTTCTTGCTTACCAATGTGATTAACCAATGTTTACTAACTAGACTTCATTATAAAGTGTTGCCTACAGCATTGTTTTTATCAATGGTTTTGCAATTTCCTTTGTTTGATACACTTGTTTACTCTGAACATTCATTTTCCTTCGGCTAAGTCCCTTCATTTATCAGGGGTCACCACAGCAGAATGAACCGCCAACTTATCCAGCATACATTTTACGCAGTGCATGCCCTTCCAGCTGTAACCCAGTGCTGGGAAACATCCATACACATTTACACACATACTGTACACTATTCACCTATACCGCATACTGTATGTTTAGATGGTCTTTCCAGAGGAAACGCACGCCATCAAAGGGAGAACATGCACACTTCTCAATGAAATGCCAACTGACCCAGCTAGGACTCAAAACAGCGACCTTCTTGATGTGAGTTCTAATCACTGAGCCACTTTTTTTTTTGGTTATTATAGATGTTAAAGTACATTTTCTGTAGCTTAAGTGAATAGTGTAATATCCATACATCTTGATTTAAGATTCAACAAATAATTGCAGCAAGAAAATTGGTATAAAAGGGATTGTTCACCCAAAAATAAAAATGTAGTCAATATTTTTTTACCCTCAAATGGTTCTCAACCTTTGTGAGTTTCTATCTTCTGTTGAACACAAAAGAAGATATTTTGAAGAAAGCTGAAAAGCTGTAACTATTGACTTCCACAGAAAAACACAATGAAAGTCAATGGTTACAGGTATTATTCAATAGACCTTCTTTTGTATTTAACAGAAACCTATAACATTTGAAACAAGCGAAGAGTGCGTTAATGACAGAAGTTTTATTTTTAGGTGAACTATCCCTTTAAGCTGTTCATTTATTCACTAATTTTCTTTTCGGCTGAGTCCCTTTATTAATCTGGGGCCGCCACAGCGGAATGAACCGCCAACTTATCCAGCATATGTTTTACACAGCGGATCCTTTTAAGATGTGTTTCTAACAGAAGCAGATGATGCTTCCTTAAGTTGACCACTTTGAGAGTTAGTTAAAATAGCATTTGATCAAACTGTTTACATGTGGCTGAATGCATTCAAACAGCCTCAAAAACACCATGAAGAAAACCTCGAATGACAAGGAATGCATTGGATGTTAATATCAGATATAAACTATAATGTCAGCTGAAAATGCATGCTAGCTGTACCAGGTGGAAATAGAGCCTCATATTGGATCGTTAATAATTCACACATCCAATCTTCACTCACATGAGCTAACAGCGTTAGTTTCAGAAATCTGCTGGCGAGTGAAACGCATCTAAAATCATGTGCTGTATCCAGTGTTAGGAAGAGATGATTCCACAGAGGAACAGACTAGGAAAATGTGCAGCATGGGTGTGACCTGAGGTTGCTTGGTTACCTTGAGCTCATCGAAGCGCAGCGTGAAATGTAAAATCTCAGCAAACTGGCGTGCCAGAGCCTGCTCCTGCTCCAGATGCTGAGTTGGGCTGCAGCGTGAGCTGGTGAGGTACTCCAGCAGGTTCTGCAGAGTGTCTTCTGCAAGAGACAGAAGAAACACCAGCGCTAATGCTCATGAAGGAGACTGTACACATAATACTGGGTTATGCTCTCCATGTTTTGATGTAAAACAGGCACAGAAACAGAGGGTCTGGCAGAGGAACACAGCAGTGTGTTTGACAGAGAAATGTTAGGTCAGTCTGACCCTTTCATGTTTCACCAGAGCCTCTCCTCCAGAGACAGCGCTGCCATTGGCTGCTGTTGATCTGTGATTAAGGGCCATGTCATGTTTAATTAGGTCATGACCTATTTCTCAACATCAGACCCTCAATTCTGAACAGACTAACACGCAATGACAGACTGCACAAAAAAATTACAATTGTTTTTCTTCAGAGAAATAAAATAAAGTTCTGAGAGCAAAACATACCTGTATGTTTTTTTTTTTGTATAGTGAGCAACATTTTAGACAGATTGCTTTATCAGTTTTGCCAGCAAAAAAAGCCAAAGGCAGTGCAGAATGTTGTCACATCTCTAAGCAACACAGCAGCTGAATGATTCAGATTTTGAACAAATCCTTAAGTGTAATTGTGTTGTTTACAATTTTTAGTTTTTACATATATATATTTTAATGATATAATATGCATAATTGTAGATTTTGTAATTTCTTTTTAAAATGTCTACTTTTGTATTAATATTATGTGTTGGACTGAGAGTTACGCAATTTCGATTCTCAATATGTACATGTGGTTGAATTGAAAATAAAGCTAACTGACTTTTTTTCACTTGGATATCGTTTGATTCAACCATCCGTTCAATAAATACTGCCACTAGTCACTGGCTTTTTAGATCTCAAATTATTTATCCATGACAAGCCTTAAAAATGTACTAGTAAAAAATACACACAGCAAAATATTGTTTAATAATCATTGTTAAATAAAAAAATAATTGAATTGTCAATATTACCTCCCTAGCACCAGCATATTTTGCAGCCATTTTTATTTTGCAAGCACACAGAAAAATATAATGGGGAAATGCAAAACATTTTAAATAAAATTGAAAAATAATATTTCCTCATGTCAATGTTTACTATTCCTTTTCCCTAAAAAGAAAATTTTAAACTGCAATATAATATAATATAATATAATATAATATAATAGTTAAAAAAATATATATATAGACCTAAACCTAAACCTTTAAAGCTATAGTGTACCTTCCATAAAACATATTCATTTTAGGAATAATACTACTGTGATACAGTAGATCTGGGGCGTGTGCGGTTGCAGATGACGAGAGCTGTGTTTTGCTGGATGTGGTGAAATAAACTGGGTTTGCCCAAAGACCGTGTTAATCCAATTATGATGCACCGCTGCTCTGTTTATGGCTTGTTCCTTGAGAACATGCGTTAAATCGAAACAGATCAACAACAGCACACTGAATATTAAGATATCTTGAACTCAAAGGCATTACTTGATGCAAAACACTATACAAATCTATACTAATCCAGCTGTCAGCTGTAGGCAACAGTCTAAAGACAGCTTGTATTGCTCATGTGACATTTTTATTAATGCCTCGCATTAAATATATTTATATGCACACAGAGTGCCTTTATATGCACACAGAGCTTTACAATATTATATAATACACCTAAATTTATGTTTAAAATTTTGTATTGAAATTTTGTAGATTGTGTTTTTTGAAAAATAATTATTTAATTGTATTATCTTTTAATCTCTAAATATGTTTGGCGACTAAAATGTTATTTTAATAAATATATCTTTTTAATAAATCTGTTTTGTTTAAATGCACCAAAATATATTGCCTATATTCACTCAGAAAGAAATTAAAATATTTATTTAAAAAATGGGGTGTACTCAATTATGCTGAGCACTGTACACATTACAGATAGACTTAGTTGCCAATAAATACCTACTCTATAGATGTATTTAAACACATATCAGTGTCTGTCTTCTGTATGCAAAGTTTAACTGGACTCAATCGCGTTGCCAGGTCTTGCTCAAAAATTATATAAAAACAAGCCCATAATCTTTTTTGATATTGGTATATTTACTGGTTTGGTATATTTACTAACTAACATCAGTTACATTTATTATTTAATATGCATATAAATTCATATGATGTTATTGATTTATTTTATTTCATATTATAATGCTAATGCTCTGTATAAAACAGATATTCATTATTGAAATATTCATTGATATTCATTAGTTATTTGCAAACAAGAAAATTAATAAAAAGTTCAAATCATAAAAAATAAGCCCATAATCTACAAAAAAAAAAAAAAATCACATATAAAAACTAATAAAACAAGGCATCTCTGTTGTTGTTGTTGTTGTTAATGGCTAACCAGAATGAGTCATTGATCACTTTTTAGTATTACTATAATCAAAAATACTAGATACGAACCCTTTAAAGGGAGCTAATCGAAATACTCATCAGAAAACCCTGTATTGCTACTTAAAGTTATTAGAAGACTTTTAAACTGTTATGATTTTTTTATTATTATATTGTTATAAATGTCAATGAAGTTAATAATTACACTACCTGATAAAAGTCTTGTCACCTATCCAAGTTTTAGGAACAACAAATAATCACTTATAGTTGATCATTTGGAATCAGAAGTGGCTTATATGAAAGGCAAAGGCCTCTAGATTACGATTATTTTACCAAAATCAAACATGATCATGCCTTGATTTTTAAACATTTAATTAGGCTTTGCTGAGACAAAAGTTTTGTCACTTAACAGAAATAATGTACAGTATAGGATATAAAGTCATGGTGCAGTGGAAACAGAAATAATCTTGTAAATGACTTCCATGATCTTGATGACTGCATCCATACATCTCTGCAATGACTCAAATCACTTATTAATAAAGTCATCTGGAATGGCAAAGAAAGCATTCATGCAGGACTCCAAGAGTTTATCATGATTCTTTGGATTAATCTTCAATGCCTCCTCCTTCCTCTTACCCTAGACATGCTCAACAATGTTCATGTTTAATGACTGGGCTGACCAGTCCTGGTGCATCCTGATTTTCTTTGGTATAACTTTGATATTTCATGCAGCACAAATGTCTTGATACCTCTGTTAAAGTTGCCATCAACTCTGCAGATCTTTCACATATCCCATACTAAATGTAACCCCAAACCATGATTTTTCCTTTACCAAACTTGACTGATTTCTATGAGAATTTTGGGTACATGTGGGTTCAAATAGATCTTCTGCAGTATTTGTGATGTAGTCTAGAAGTCTAGTCTTGACAAGAAGTCAAATTATTATTTGTTGCTCTTACAACTGGAATCAACGACAAGATTTTCGACAAGATTTTCAGGTAGTGTGCAGTTCCTCATCCGATAAAGAGTTAAATGTGCAATAAGTTAAAATATGTAAAGTATTTTAATGTCTGCAGTGACACACAATCTGATAATCTCTACTAAAATTCACACCTGTATACACATGAGGTTGACATCTTGAAATGTTATATTGTCTGACTAGTATACACATGGCCATTATGACCTCAGTTCTGTTATAAGACAGCAGGGTTATCTCAGCTCTCTGGTTTTGTCTGTTAAATTAGGAAAGGCTTGAGTAAGCGCATATGAGCTGACGTAAGAGTAAGGACAGTTCAGTAATCCCTGCTCTTATATAATCTCTCTACTGCCAGCCACTGACGTGTGCGCTGCTATCATAACACTGATGAATCAAATCACAGATCATCATCTCACTCAAAAAAATCAAAACACAGTCCAGAGCAGATGCTGGAACTACTGTACGGTGTGTGTTAAATGGGTCAGTGGACCATAAAACCCTTTGAGGAATGGCGAGAGAGCAGATCAATTTATCACTCGAGCTTCTAGGTAAAAATACTACGTTACCATTTACAGTTTTGTCTGCAGTGCATATTAAAGAAAGGAGGGAAAAAAAACGACATACCCAGTTTTAGTGAGAACTCATAAAACTTCTTTAGTTTGCCAACCAGCGGGACCACAGCGGCCCACGCTTGCTCCTGCACACGCTCATCACTGGGATGCTGTATGGCCTGAGGAGAGGACAAGTGCACACTTACTGTAAAAAAGCAGCAGGGCATTCAGTACAGCAGAATATGAAGAGAATTTGTGTCACGGAAAACAGCATGAATGTGTCGTCTCTGGATGTACTGGCCTGTCTGATGGCTTCACCGGCTCCGCTGTATGACTGCAGGTCCTGAAGAATGATCGCAGCCTCTCTCAGCACCCCATTGACCTCCTCCCAAACCCTTCTCTCCGCTTCTGTGGGCTTGGCATCTGCAGAGAGACATCACAACGAGTTGCAGATATGACACTGGAAGCTGAATTTGTTTGTTTGGTTGGATATTTAGAGTGAGGGTTGTCATCAATGTCATGTTATTACTATATTAATTACTATTATTATATTAATTATGTACAGTTGTATATAGCAAATGTTAACAGCAGAAACTGTAATAACACTGATAATTAATGATCATTACAATATTACGATTAGGGCCAGACAGAAATTCTGATATTTTTGCTATTTCTGCAGAGAATTTTTTTTTAAATCTGCAGATTTATGCAGATTTTGTGAGCATCATACCTAAAAACTTAAATTATGAAATAAAAAATAAAACGTTTTTTAAATTTATCAACTTTTATTTAATGTTTGCAATGCAAATCAAATTAGATCCACATATTTGGTGAACAAAGCAAGTCTCTCATATAATATATCAACTAAAAGACTGTACAATACAATACAAACTGTATTGTAAATAAATCATATAAACATTTTAATATTACTGTTATTATATCACAATAATATTACTGAAATAATTTAAAAACTGAATAAATATAAATTTACACATTTAATACACAGTAAATACATAGACTCAATTAGGAGCTAAAAAAAAATCTGGATTTCTGTGCATGCAGAGTCCGTGTGGGCCTAATTGTGACTAATAATACTAGTCATGTAATTAGCAAGTAATTATAAATATTATTTTAATACATATTTATGCATCTAGAAGATTTAATTATAAATGACATATTTAAAAAATATATATAATAATAAATTATATAATAAAAATAATAAACTTATTGCTGACCAAATTACATTGAATTCAGTCAGCCTAGAGACACGATGTTCATAAAAATAGTTATAGTGATTTTTTTGGTAATAATTATTTAAAATACATATTATATTTTATCTAGATTTCAATAATAATTTTTAAATGTTATTAATGTTATATTTTATTATTTTTTCATGCTACTTATTATATATTTCTATATATTATCTAGTAAAAATATTATTTATTGTCATCATGGCAAAGACAAAATAAATCAGTTATTAGAGATGAGTTATTAAAACTATTATGTTTAGAAATGTGTTAAAAAAATATTCTCTCTGTCAAACATAAATTGGGGAAAAAATTATCGGGCTAATAATTCTGACTTCAATGGTAAAGTATTTATATAAGCATTTATATTAAATTAGATCTATTGATTTAATATAAATTAACACATAATAACTAATATTATTCTAATTAAAACAACAAGATTTGTATTTATTTGAAAATAAAATGAATACTAGCATTATTATAAATAATACAATTATAATTTAGAATATTATAGTCCAATTTTTTTTAATCATCAGCAGTGCAAAAATATATATTACTTTCTAAATGCTATTCAGTTAACAGTCTAACTGTGGCTTAAATTTAAAATACAGCTCTTCTTGACTACACAATCACTTACTTTCAAAGTCCAGGAAAAAGTTCCCTGCGTTGTTGTCGATGTCTCGCGTGAGAACCTTTATCAGATTCCCCATCCCGACCTGTCAGAGCCCTAAAAGAGCAGATAAAAAAAGTGACGCAAGGATGCTGATTGTGCGTGATTTGTGGCACGCTCTGAATGTCAATGAAGTTCATGCACCATTTGATTTGCCCTCAGACACAAGAGCACATTCAGGTTGACTCAGTTTGCATAAAGACCAGCGGCACCTGTGCTCACGACAGCAACATCTGGCCAAACACATGAGTGTGAGGGAGAACATCTGCTCGGGGCAGTGCAGAAAATCAGGAGAGACCTGAACACTGCAGCATTAACTGCACGCAGGATAGATTCAGTGCAGGTGAGAAGACTGATGCTGAACTAATGCTGATCTACTGCAGGATCATGACGCCCTCTAGCAGTCACAGGCCTTCACATTGACATACTGTATGACACCTTCACATTTTCTGCTTGCATTTCTGAAGCTCTTATCACATTATATGGTATTATTATTATCATGATACAATGTTTTGAAAGGCGAGGCAGTGGCGCAGTAGGAAGTGCTGTCGCCTCACAGCAAGAAGGTCGCTGGGTTGCTGTTTCGAACCTCGACTCAGTTGGCGTTTCTGTGTGGAGTTTGCATGTCCTCCCTGCCTTCACGTGGGTTTCCTCTGGGTTCTCCGATTTCCCCCACAGTCCAAAGACATGTGGTAAAGGTGAATTGGGTAGGCTAAATTGTCTGTAGTGTATGAGTGTGTGTGTGAATGTGTATGTGGATGTTTCCCAGAGATGGGTTGCGGCTGGAAGGGCATCCGCTGCGTAAAAACTTGCTGGATAAGTTGGCGGTTCATTCCACTGTGGCGACCCCTGATTAATAAAGGGACTAAGCTGACAAGAAAATGAATGAATGACAATGTTTTGAAAATTTACTAGAAAAAGAATCATAAAACTTTTCATTTTCCTTTAGCTTAGTCCCTTTTTTAACAGGGGCCGCCAAATGGAATGAACCTGAATGAACCACCAACTATTCCAGAATACATTTACGCAGCAGATGCCCTTCCAGCCACAACCCAGTCGTGGGAAACAGCCATACACCTCCCATTCACACACTACGGCCAATTTTATTTGCCCAATTCACCTATAGCGCATGTCATTGGACTGTGGGGGAAACCGGAGCACCAAGAGAAAACCCATGAAAACACGGGCAGAACATGCAAACTCCACATAGAAACGCCAACTGGCCCAGTCTCAAACCAGCAACCTTCTTGACAGTGCTGAGGTGACAGTGCTAACCACTGAGCCACCATGCCGCCCTGGAAAAAGTTTATTAAAGAATGATATTTCACTTTACAACATCTCATTAGTAGCTGGTAGTTAAAGCATTAACAACATCAGTGAGAAATATCTACATTTGTTACTGAAGTAAATGTTATTAGCTCCATTTAAAAAAAAATAAATAAATAAACAGTAAGGATAATTCAGCCAAATATTACAATTCGGTCATCATTTGCTCGCCCTTCACTTGTTTTAAATCTGTTTGAGTTTTTATCCTTTGCTGAATACTAACAAGGACATTCTGAATGTTGCCATTTGTTCTTACAGTAAATAGCTACGAGTTTCCAACATTCTTCAAATTATGTTCTTTTGTGTTCAAAGGTAAAAAGAACCCCATAAATAGAGCTGAGCAATTAATCAAAAAGCAATCGAAATCGACATTCAGAACACATAATTGATTACATTTTTCCAGGTCTATTTTAACAATGACTTTCCATACTGCATGTGGAGTGTGTTGACCCCGCTCTGGCTGCTTTATACTTCTGCGTTGAGCACACGCATATGGTCCGGCACAGCCTTCATGTAGTCACCTACCCTACTATACTATAGGTACCCTATACATTGTACTTTAATTAAGAAAAAACATTGAAAGTAATTTATTTTGTTTAAAAAAATGAAAGTTATATATTTTCACTTTTTATAAGAAAAAAGTGACTGCTCGCTTTAGACAATGTGTGTTTTAATTTTATTTGTTTAATGTTCAATAAATAATATTAGATTAGTGTGTGTTTCCTTCAGTTATTTTAAAATCAAGTGATGCACCCTTCATTCAAAAATCTCTCACTTGTAATATGAGCATATTTACTGTACAAAACCTGTCAGTGAACTATGCAAACAATAATTAAATAAAAATAATTGTTCATTAATCATAATCGAGTTAAAATGTTCAATTAATACATTTTAGACCAAATTGCCCAGCCCAGCCTATAAATGTTTGCAACCACATGAGGTTTAGTAAATACTGTATAGATTTTTGGTTGAACTATACATTTAATGAATCACTAAATGAACATCGCCCAAGATTCATATATTTGACATCTTTTTTAAACTACATTGTAATTTTTACTTTCAGTTTATTTTATTTAAACAATGATAACAAATAGAGACTTTAAAATAGGGAAGTCTAGATTCAATTACATGATCGTAAATCGGGTCCGATCATACAGTTTCAGACTCGATCAAAATCAGACATCACCTCCTGATCAAGATTTAAAATGAACCGCCAACTTATCCAGCATATATTTTACGCAGCAAATGCCATTCCAGCTGCAACCCATCACGGGGAAACCCAATTCACCTTTACTGCATGTCTTTGGACTTTTGGGGGAAGGCGAAGCACCTGGAGAAAACCCACGTGAACATGGGGAGAACTTGCAAACTCCACACAGAAATGGCAACTGACCCAGCTGAGGCTCAAACCAGCGACCTTCTTGCTGTGAGGCCAGAGCGTTACCCACTGTGCCACCGTGCTGTCCACATATAGATATAGATAAATAAACATCTATAGTTATGCGCTGTTCACACAGAAACAACAAGTAAAGCATGACATCACTTTGTTGCAGAGATGCTATTGGTTAAATGCCGGCAAAGAAGAACACAGAAGCAGCTTGAAGAGGCAACATTGTCATAGCAAACTGAGATGTATAAAATGGGATTGCCTGCCAGGTATTTTAAGTTGAGGTACTATTTGATTTTTTATTCGTTTTTCGTAGTCCAAAAGTGAAGAATTTATATTATTTATTACTTGATTGTTCAAGTTACCTCACAAAAGTGCTGTTTGTTAACAGAGTTGTTGAATGTTAAAATAAGGTGAATTAAATAAAAAATAAGAAACATCCTGGATCTGTTTCTTCGTTCTTCTTGATTCTTTTTTTAGGTATTATAGAAATATCGGATTGGGTTTCGGTAGATACTCAAAATCAAACGACTCTGACTCGAGGGAGAAAACATCTAAAGTCTTAACAAATACTAATCCAATGAAGACTAAGAACACGTTCAATGAAACAGACATGCTAAAGGTCAGAATAGCAAAAGAAAATGCTAATAACGCTAAATATATATTTTAAAAAGTCATTAAAAATTTTAAACAACCACCTGAATATTCTTAAAAGTGACACTTAAAGTTTAAATGACTATGAATTATTTACTTTTGTTTTGCCAATAAAAATTATTACACACTTTCATTAATGCAAAATATTGTACTTCTGATTATTGTCAACAATCCAAATCTGTCAGTAAAGTTCCCCTCCCTATAAGCTGAGGGCTAAACACTGGTAAGAGGAATCATATGTTCCCTAAAAAGAGCTCACTCTCATTCTTATTCATCGCTCTGAGCTCAGCGCTCCTGCAGTGAGTCACAGATAAAATAGCATCATCCACAAAAAAAAACAAACACACACAACAAGAAGAACATCAATACTATTAAAGACCAAGGCCTGAAGAGAAAGTTTGTTTATATCTTTGAAGGACTTTGCGTCTCCTCAGAAAGTAGGTAAATGGGTTGCTCCGCTTGGCGTCTCACTGACCTACAGTACAGCGAGTGGGGGTGTGCAGTCTTTATATCTTGGCATTCAGGATTTAAGCAACCTAAGGGACTAAATAAGCAGTGCTGTCTTGATCTGTCTTGAACCGCTAAGCCTCCTGTCAGCTTTACACCCCTGAGTTTATTTTGGGGGGGGGATGGGACCATCTGAACTGAGGCGGCTCATTTGACTATAACACACACACCCTGCGATTCTATTGGCTGAGGAGGGAGACAGAACATTCTGCTGTTTCCATGGAGCCCAAAAATATTTTCCAAGCCAAAATGTGCCGTCAGCCAATAGCGGCAGAGTAAAGGAGCACTCGACGGGACTTAAAAAGTGCTTGAATAAATTAATCATGAGTTCAGCACTATGAAGAAAAAGAAACGTGGCTAAATTGGGGAGAAAAGTGGAACAGTTTGACTGAGTAAACCTTTAAAGATGTTTCTAAACACTTATAAATGTCATTTCATCAAGAACTATTTAAAATACATTTAAATTATAAATATACAAACTTATCAAAAGCAAAGTGAGGAGCGACGATTTTACTGTAAGATGAGCTTAAAAGTTAAGCTTAAAAACTACAATATAAATAAAATTTTTAATAACACATTAAAATTGATTTATAAATTATGTAATACATTTTATGGTAATTAATTAACCAACCAAATTGGGTCATTAATTATATACAGAAATAAAGTTAAATATATTTACACAAAAACACATAAATACAACTACACTATTTTATCTTTGCATTATTTTAAATAATTAGCAGTAATTAATTGTATATATTAAATATTTACAATAATTATTTGCAATACAATTAATTGTTAAAAATGAATTAAAAATATATAATATTTAATGATTTAATATAAAATCCATTTCTTTTATATTGTTTAAAAGTTGAGCTTAAAAACTACAACATCAATCTTATTTATAATAACATAAAAAATAAAATAAAATTAATGTAATACATTTTATGGTAATTAATTAATTAGCAAAATTGGGTATTAAATTATTTACAGAAATAAATGTAAACATATTTACACAAAAACACAAATACGATATTCATAAACTTGAATATTTTATCTTATATTATTTAACATTAAGCGCATAAAAATGATATATAAATTATGTAATAGTTTTTATGGTAATTAATTAACCCAATTGGGTCATTAATTATGTACAGAAAAATTGTTTAAATGTATTTACACAAAA